GAGGCTAAAGCACGAAGGGTGATGTCGTGCACTTTCTTGCTATATTATCATTATCATGTGAGGACGAGAGTAAAAGCACGAAGGGTGATGTCGTGCACATGCTTATTTATACTACATGGAAAGTAAAAGCACGAAGGATGATGTTGTACACTTGCATTTATGATATATCGTGAGGATGTGAGTAATAGCACGAGGGGTGATACCGTGCAATTTGTTGATTTTGTTGCTCGATTTGATATTTGAGTTGTGAACTTGAGTTGATGGTTTCGGTATTTATTTTGAAAGAGGTTTTTTTAGTGATTCTTAATCTTTGCTTCCACTTGTTGTCCCATTCATACATGTCCCTATCTCGTTGTTATTTTTGATGCTTCACTTGTTATTTTTATATATATATATATATATATATAGATGGTTTCGGTATTTATTTTGAAAGAGGTTTTTTTAGTGATTCTTAATCTTTGCTTCCACTTGTTGTCCCATTCATACATGTCCCTATCTCGTTGTTGTTTTTGATGCTTCACTTGTTATTTTTATATATATATATATATATATATAGATGGTTTCGGTATTTATTTTGAAAGAGGTTTTTTTAGTGATTCTTAATCTTTGCTTCCACTTGTTGTCCCATTCATACATGTCCCTATCTCGTTGTTGTTTTTGATGCTTCACTTGTTATTTTATATATATATATATATATATATATACACATATTTTTAGTAGGTATCTTATCTTAGACTCGTCACTATCTCGTCGGGGTTACGCTCGTCACTTATTGAATATATTGGGTCGGTTGTACTCATACTACACTTCTTTAATTCTTGTGCAGATTTTGATGTTGGTACCAGCAGAGTCCCGAGAGGCACTTAGCAGATACCAGTCAGTGACTTGAGGTAGAGCTACACCCTGTTTGCAGGCCCTAGAGTCATTTTCCTATTTTTACTGTACTGTTTCCATTTTATTTCGGATAGTATTGTATCTCCTTCAGAACCTTGTATTTATTTGGATCTAGACGCTCATGTACTTGTGACACCAAATCTTTGGGTGTTTTACGTTATGTTATGGATAAGTTATCAGATATTTATTGCTTTTCTTTCAGTATTATCTTGTTGTGTGGGCTTGCCTAGCAAGCGGTGTTAGGCGCCATCACGACCCCGATTGGTTGGAATTTCTGGTCGTGACAAGTTGGTATCAAAGCATTAGATTGCCTAGGTCTCACGAGTCATGAGCAAGCTTAGTAGAGTCTTGAGGTTCTGTACGGAGACGTCTATACTTATCTTCTCGAGGCTATAAGACTTTTGAAAAAATTTCATCTTCTTTCTTTCTCTATCGTGCGACTTTATTTTATCATTGAGTCTGAATCATTCTATTCTTATTCTCTTACATATGGTGAGGGTGCATACCACATCAGTAGTTGATCAAGAGTCAAAGCCCCAGGTTGTAGCCGCTACCAGGGGTAGAGGCCGGGGCCGAGGCAGAGCCAGAGCTCAGCCTAGAGCACATGCAGCAGCACCCATCGCAGAGCCTTATATCGAGCAGGGTGAGGAGATCCCTGTTCAGACTGTGTCGGTTGGGCTAGCTCAGGTCCTAGAGGGGTTTATTGCTACCCTGGTACTTCAGGACGCCCTAGTTTGCCTGGTTGGTATTATGGGGAGTGTGGCCCAGACCAGTGTGTTTCCTATGGCACCAGCCATCTCACAGGCTGGGGAAGGAGCCCAGACTCCCGCTATTCACACTCCGGAGCAGATGGCTCACATATATCAGACGCTGGCAGTTCCGCCAGTTAGATTAGTTCAGCTTGTTCTATCTTTCAAACAGTTCTGTATTTTGAGATTAGACTCTGTATTTAAATTTTGTAGTGCTCATGTAGTCAATGACACCAAATCATGGGATAGTTTTACTCCTATTGCTCTATTGACTTCAGTTATTTATGATTATCCGTTAATAAGACTATTTAATACTGCTATTTAAGTTTATTTTCTGCTTATTGATTGATGGCTTGCCTAGCAAGTGGTGTTAGGCGCCGTCACGGCTCCGGTGGGAGTTTGGGTCGTGACATTTTTAATCAAGCGCCATAAAGAGAAGCTCAACTTCACCTTAAAAATAACGCGGCTCAGATATTCAAACTTCAGATCTAACTTTTCTTTTAAATCTCGAATTTGAATCTTTGAAGAAATCAAATAACGGAGGTTCAAATTTTTCTTTGAAACCTCTTAACTCACATCTGAAAAGAAAAGTGAAGGAGAACAACATGGCAGAAAGAATTTTGGGGTGCAAAGTTGATATTGAAAGAAACTAAAAAAGAAGAAAAATAAAAACAATTAGAAATGGGTCTAAGAACTGAGGATAACGACACCAAAGTCACTTGCAATTCTATCATATTTTCAGCTAACATAGGTTGCGATGACAATGAAGATGTGTGAAAGAACATGTTGAAATGCTAAAAAAAGTGTTTTGGGGTGCAAAGTTGATATTGAAAGAAAAGAAGAAAGAAGAAAAATAAAAATAATTAGAAATGGGTCTAAGGGTTGAGAATAAAGACACCGAAGTCACTTGCAATTCTATCATGTTTTCAGTTAACTTAGGCAGCGATGACAATGAAGATGTGTGAAAGAACATGTTGAAATGCTAAAATAAATAAATAAAAGTGAAGGAGAACAACATGGCAGAAGAATTTTGAGATGCAAAGTTGATATTGAAAGAAAAGAAGAAAGAAGAAAAAGAAAAACAATTAGAAAATGGGTCTTTGAGCTGAGGATAAAGATACCGAAGTCTCTTGCAATTCTATCATATTTTCAGTTAAGTTAGGTTGTGATGACAATGAAGATGTGTGAAAGAACATGTTGAAATGTTAAAAATAAATAAAGAAAAGTGAAGGAGAACAACATGGCACAAGAATATTGGGGTGCAAAGTTGATATTGAAAGAAAAGAAAAAAGAAGAAAAAGAAAAATAATTAGAAATTGGTCTAAGAGGTGAGGATAAAAACACCAAAGTAACTTTCAATTCTATCATATTTTCAGTTAATTTAGGCTGCAATGACAATGAAGATATGTAAAAGAACATATTGAAATGCTTTAAAAATGGAACTTTTTGTATATATATATATATATATATANCTTCAGTATAATATGCTGGAGTTCCAGTATACTTATGGTGAAACTCCAGTATAATATACTGGAGTATTTTCCGGATTTTGAATAGTATTTTCGTTCAGATTTATCTTTACATGAAAAGTGACAAAATTTCGATTATTTTTGAAAGTGTGACTATTTTTGAATGACCACTTGTAAATCTGGTTATTTTTAAATTTCTCCCCCAATTCTAGCTTGTGGCCCGCTCAAGATTGGGCTGAGCTGGTACTTTGAAGATCCTTTAATGAAAGCCCGTCCTAGCCGTTTAAGTTCATGCCTCCGAGGACTGGGCTAGATTGAGCCACCCATTTTGACATAAATAATTCATGGCTGCTTTATTTGGTCGCCTCATTAACTATATATATATATATATACGAGATTTTTTCGTATATATATATATATGAGATTTTAAACTTATTTACCCAGTTTTGTCTAAGTTTTCATATTTACAGAAGGTAACTAATTTTTTTTACAAAATAGATACAAATCTGGTCAAAATCTACAATATTTTTTACAATTTATCTACAACTTAAATAAATATTTGTTGTACAGAATCCGGTCAAAAACTATAATTTATATACAATTATGTAAGTTGTAGATATTTTGTATATCGTTTCTACACTTGACATACAAAATATATATAATATGTTTGCGTCTTCTTTTTCGAGTTTCAATCTGAAATTTCAACCAAAATCACCTCGAATCTTCACCAAATTTTCTCCAAATTGAGATATAAATTCCAAAGGATATTCTCAATTATTTGCAACAACACCCAATCCAAACAATTTATTTATTTTTTTGCAAATTTCGATTTTTGAATTCAAATCTTCTAAGTTTTCTAATGGATTAACATAGTTTCCAATTCAATCTACTTGCTTCCGATTAATATTTTTTTGTTTATTGATTCCAAAAAGTTAAAATAAATTAACGATCTTCCCTCGTTCAAAAGTGATATTTCGTTCATTGTTTAACATAGAAAAAAAATAGAAAATAAAAAGAAAGAGAAAACATAATAGATTATTTGATGCCAAATCTCTTTGTTTTCATAAAGGTATGGATGAAGTTGAGAAGAAAGAGGTCAAACATTCATCTGTTAATTTATAATTTTAGTTTTGGGGTGGAAGAGAGAGAGAAAGTATGGAAGATTAGAGTCTAATACATTATTTTGTATCAAATTGGTAATTTATATATGGACTTATAATTAAGTTAAAATCTCAATAGTGAGAGTAAATAGGTTTTTAAAATTAGTATAGATAAGTAAAAATCTCGAAAAAAATTAAAATAGAAGTGAGCCTTTAATATGGGATAAGGGGTGGGAAAAAAATTAAATTATATACAAAGTGGGCCAAATCGGGTAAGAAGGTCAATATAGGTCAAATTTAGCTGGGATATTGGCCCAACTGATCAAGAAAGTAATTTATCTAACTACGTATATGTCTTTTTTCAAGAAAATCAGTAAGAATAATTCAAAAAATGTATACATTTTAAGTTGTAACTGAACTAAAAGATTATTTCTAGCAGAAAAATCATTCCCATTTAAAAATTATGATGGAATTATAAGTATTATTTTTAATAAAAGGTTTTGGGTTCGAACCTTATATTTTCGAATGTAGAAATTGTTGTGAATTCAAATTGTATGGGAGTCATTTTTCGGTGAGAAAACGATAGAGTCCGGCCGCCTTGTCTGACCGTTGTAGGTGTTACAGTAAATGGCCCATACACCCATTAGGCATTACCTTCCAAAATTAGCTTAAATCCCACCCACTATTTGTGCACCCCATAATTTAATATCACTCCTATTTCCTATTAATTGAGATGCTAAAGCATTTTCTTATCCTAAATAAATAGTTAAAGAATTTTATTATATTGGTCAAATCCAAAGAGAAAAAATACTGAATTTTGTTTTTCACGCCTTCTGTCCTCAAATGGAACCCCTATGACTTGTAAAGTACCAGCTGCCTTTTATTGACAAAACAAAAGAGAATGTTATATATACTATATTCTTTGGCACCATCATATTTCTCAATCATTGCATCTACAAAAATTCTGTTTTTACACTTAATTGAAGGAGAAAAGACCAATCGGATATGGAGAGAAAGTTAATTGATGGGAAATTAGAGAATACTGATTCCACTTCTGAGCTGATTAAGCAATCTGCTGATGAAATTTCTCATTTGGCTATCGATATTGGAGGTAAATTGCTGGGTTTATTTGCTCTTTTTTCTTCTGACATCTTTATTTCTTTGTTAATTTATTAATTTTGCCTTTTACTTTTATGTTTTTTTTGGTTTGGGAATTCGAAAATGTTAGTGTCTTTTCTGTTTGCTTTGTAGAGTTATGTTGGCATTGCTTTCTTATTGGTTCAATAGAATTTTAGAAAAAAATGAAAAAGATAAAAAGGAGAAGAAAATATCAATTCCTTTTTTCTACTGAAAGTCATTACTTCAGTAATTCAGTTATAAACTCATTAACGTGGGGTTGAATTAGATGGTAGAGTAATTGGTTCATAGGTTAATTGCTTAATGGCATTTGACTAGAGTTGCAAAATGAACCAAGTTAGTACTAGAATTTGCTGCATTCTTGACCTCCTAAGAAACAAGCTTAGTATTTTGATAAGTTGAACTGTTATCTAGTTTTAGAAGTCACCTGACCTCATAAGAACCATAGTTATCATCACGCGGATGAATTGAATTTACGAACTTACATGTGGTTTGCAAATTATGTAAGTCTAGGTTGTACTGGAAAAATATAAAGACATATATGGTCTTTTCCATGATTGAACTCTGCCAATGGGAGGAGTACATTTTACTTGGTTTTAGTGGCATTCAAGGGTGTGGCCTAGTAGTTAATGTAGTGAGTGGAACCTTGGAGACCGGGGTTTGAATCCCGAGACAAAAAAACATGGTGATTTCTTCGGCCCAAGCCTTGGTGGATAGAGTTACCCTGTGTTGGTGGGAGGTAGCTGGCAACCCAGTGGAATTGTCGAAGTGCAAACGAGCCGACCCGGATGTCACTGTCATTAAAAAAGAGCTTGGTTTTAGTGGACATAGACAGAGAAGATGGATAGGTTGGTGTATTTGAACATCCAGAAACTTCAGCAATATTTCTCCAAGATTTCAGCTGCATAGTACATGAATTTATATAACGCTGCTGGGCGCTGGCTCAATTGCTTGTTGCTGATTTCATAATGAGATGAACTCACAACTTCTTTTGTTAGTGTTAAAACATAACTAAGTAGATAAAGCTCTCCTCTCTCTAATAGTATAAGCATTAGACCAAGGAGTCACACAATGCAATATGTATTAGATAAAAATTGATCAGTATCTCCAATGTGCGTAGTCAGATAAAGAAGAAGCTTTATGGGATTTTGCTGGCTTTAAGAATGTTTCTGTTAACAACCAATATTTTGAGGACCAAATAGAAATGCTAAATGAAAGGACCTTCTCCTTTTGCAGGCTCCCTCATCAAGATTGTATACTTTTCAACCAACAGTAAGTGCAGCACAAATGATGAGGCACCAACATTACCAAAAGAAAGACAGGAAGTTCCCAATGGAGACCTTAACCATCACATTCTTAGTGGCAGACTTCATTTCGTGAAGTTCGAGACTAGCAAGATTGAGGACTGCATAAACTTTTTGTCTTCCAAGAAACTTCAACAGTGCGGTAGGTTTTCTTGTGGTGCTTACACCCTAGATGTAACTATTTTTCTGGGGTGACTTCTTTGATTACAAATTGGCATGCATGTAAACTTATAGGGGGCTTGATTATGAAGAAGAATTTTTTTGATAAGTGAGGAGAATTTATCGTTTCACCTTTGGCTATAAGTAATTTTTTTTTTTTTGATAGTGATAGTGGAAGAACAATATTAAGTAATTGCTAAGTTAACGTGGCACAGAAAACATTAGTACAAAATTTAAACTTTGGATGGTAAAAACAATTTGAATTCTTGAAAGTGAAGTGTACAGAATAGTACTTCCTCCATTACACTAACCGTATTCGGAGCATACAAACATTTTAGTAATGATAGAAAATATGATTTATATGTCGTTGCAGTTAAGTTTTTAAGGTATCTTGGTCACTTTAGGAATCATATGCCCAGTTTAAGAGAACTTCGCTTTAGAGTTTATCTTCACAGGTTCTTATACGTCTTTTTATTAGGTTGTATTATGCCATGCCCTTCCTAAATCTTATAGATTTACAATGATTGCAGGTGCTCAATGTCATCATTCTCACACTGTTGACAAGATCAAGATTAAGGTAAAGGAGAATTTCAAAAGATGTTGGTTCTGTTTCCCACCTCTTTTTTTTTCTTTGCTCAATTTGGTGATTATAGGAGAGCCTTCCTAAAGTATTTCATAGGTTTCCGAAGAATTTTTATATCCTAAAACCTCATTGGGAAGAAATAATATCTGTGTCCACTGTGGGATGAAACGAGCTTTTGGAAGTTCAGAAAATCAACCACGGTTTTTCTGGAGAAGCTACTCAATGATAAGTACCGAGGAAGCTATTGCATTGCAGTCTTCTTATTGTTAGAATGTACTTTTCAAGTTAAAACTTCTTGAAAGTTATGTTTTTATAAAGACTTCTAAAGCAAAAGTTTCTCGCGTATAGACTGTTGATTGCCCATCATTTCCTTTTTCCTGCCTCTGTGCATCTTTTGACTCTTTTACTCAAAAGTAAAGAATGTGAATCGAAGAGCGGAAGTTAATTTTCAGAACTGTGCAAAGTAATATGTTAGTGTCCCGGCCATTTGTTTCCTTATATGGTCTTGGGCAATCCTCACATCATGAGTTAGCTTTTGGAGTTGAGTTAGGCCCAAGGTCCATTTCCTTATCATGGTATCAGAGCTAGGTCCACCCAATTCTTGTTTCATCCGATGTTGGGCCCCTATATTATATTGCCCACGCTCCAGATGTCTAGTACTAGGTGTGCAGGGGGTGTTAGTATCACACATCGGCTGGGTGGGAGGCCATTTGTTTTCTTATATGGTCTTGGACAATCGTCACCTTATGAGCTAGCTTTTGGGGTTGAGTTAGACGCAACGTCCAATTTCTTATCATTATATTTTCTTACATGGAACCATTAACCTCTAAAGTTTGGGAGTTAAACTGTTAAATGATAAAATCTGTTTACATCCTTCAACCAAAAATATAGTTACTAGTCATTTTCCTGTTCTATCTCTCAGTTGTTTCTACCTTCTTTTTTTTTGTATGAGTTTATAGATTCTATTGCACCAAAAAAGGTAGACTCTTAGAGTACAGGAAATATTTTGAGCGAAAAGGAGCAAAGAGGATGTATTGTTTCCTTCAAAATACATCCAGTCCTCTGCTAAACATTTTAGGCTTTATGCACTCCAGAGCTAGGGAAAGAAAAGCACGATGTTTGCAATTTGGAGGCTGTTAGTTCCATTTCATTCAAAAGCCCTTCCGTCTTTTCTCCAAATGGTCCACATCACAGAGTTAGGAAATTTTTTTCACCTTGTCTCTATTTCTTCTCTTGGACCCTTTTTGGCTCCAGAAAAGCTGTGACACATTGGAACATAAAGCACGAGCGATTATGTACAACCTTCCCTCTTTCTCTAAGTTACTGCCATTTTATAGCTTTCCATTTCACTATTCACACAAGATTTATTGCTTTGATAATTGTGGCACTCAAACTGCCCGTTGTGGAAATTCATTTCTCCATCTAGAAGATCTCGAACAAATGAATAAATAAATAAACAAATAAATAAATAAGCTCCCTCTGTAATATAACTTAAACATGTACATAAGGTGGTTTACATCTATCAATATGGTATTAGAGTAAGTAGAGTTCTTCAATTTGAGTCTCACCACCAATAAACAAAATAAAGCACGTGCTTGGCTAACAAAAAAAGAAGAGGTCACATGTGAGGGGCTTGATGAAGACCTGAAATAGATAAATAAAAATGTACTCCGCAGGAGCTCCTCACTTTGCTCCCTTGGTGACTCGAACCTGCAACCTCGGGGTTGGTGGTGGAGGGTTAAAATATTGCACAGAAACCTTTGCATGTATAACAAGTTTCTGAAAACACATTAATCAGGACTGGTAAATGTCCCTCTGCCCGTGACTGGAACATAGTATCTTTTATAGACACCCATGGTACCAGTGCTGTAGTAGAATTTTTTTCTCACAATATTTATAGTAAATTTATATGGTGAAATGCTAAAGTTGAAAACACCGTGTAACCTTTTGATGAGTTTTATTCTTGAACAGGCAACAGGTGGTGGAGCTTTCAAGTTTGCCGATCTATTCAAAGAAAAACTTGGCATAACTCTGGACAAGGTAGAGGAAATGGAGTCTCTTGTTGCTGGAGCAAACTTTTTGCTTAAGGTGGGTTTTTTGTAGCAGAAATCAGTATTTGGTTAGTACTTTTTTCTTCAGATATTTAAGTCTAGGCACATGAAATCCTTTCTAAAAATATTTCGTATTTTTCTCTTCTGCCAATCTTCAGCTTGGTTTATCTACTTACTCTGAATTAGTCCTGGACAGTATTTCTGGTTCCAGGAATACATATGTACTTTTTATTAATTTCTTGCTTAGGGATATGATTGTGTGTGTATAGCCAAATTTACTGGGTGTATATATATTTATCATGATTCTCTGCTGCTTCTTGATGGAATGCTGCACCCTCAAGGCTGGTAATAGATTGATAAAGGCACATTTCCCATGGAAATAGTGGTTTCTCTTTTCTCTCCTCTATCCAATATATAGCTGAATTGAGTACAAGTTCGAGTCACCCCAAGAGCAAGGTGGATAGTTCTTGGAGGGAGGGAGCCGAGGGTCTATCGGAAACAGCCTCTCTACCCCAGGGTAGAGGTAAGGTCTGCGTACACACTACCCTCCCCAGACCCCACTAGTGGGATTATACTCGGTAGTTGTTGTTGTTGTTGAGTACAAGTAGCATATGGAATACTTTTTGCTTGCTTGATATGGTTCATTTCGATAATTTAAGGTAAATAGAGTACTTGGTACTTGTTTTAAGGACAAAGAAATCTCTTACTTTATTGGGTCTTGAACATGAGACCAAGACGTCTACAGGACTCAACACTCACGAGTGAGGCTAAGATCTCATCGGCAACAGAAATCTTTCTCCATTGCATACAATTTCCTGCTCTTTTCTAAGTTTGCCTAAACAGTATAACATAGCAGCTCATTTGACATATTCCTCTTTCTCTTCTGTGAGTAGGCTGTCAACCATGAAGCTTATACGTATATTGGAGGTCGAAAGGAATACATGCAGATTGATCAGAATGACTTATATCCTTACCTCCTTGTCAACATTGGATCTGGGGTTAGCATGATAAAGGTAAGCTTCACAGATTAGATTTCTTCAATTCGACATAAATGCTAATTAACACTGATCTTAATGGTTAGGACCTGCAAGGACAATATAAAAAGTTGAGTTTACCTAAGCTCTCCTTATCCTATTTCCCACATGATTTAGGTGACATTCCATGAGCTTCATACTGGTCCTCTGATTTCCAACATGCAGTACCAAGTTGGTGCATTTTATTGCTTTTGTTATACCATGCAGGACAAGAAGTTAATCTCCTGCATAGTAGTTAGCAGACAATCTATAAATTAGAAAATTAATACCTAAAACCCCTATGTTATTATTTTCTTTGTTACTTTGGTCCATTGGAATAAGGATTTTACCTTACTTTTTTTCATCTGTGAATACCCACCTTCGGAAATGTTATTGTCCAACTAACTTTGATGTCAGCAAGATAACATTGGTAGACTACTTATTCATTTGGCAGGCATGTATAAATGATCTTGCCCAAGAATTTGACAAGACTCATTAAGCAGGCTCTGCATTGGGCTACTAAATGAATTTCAGAAGTACTGATAGTTTAGGTTTCATAGTCATCTAGGGCTGGTGGGCTTTGATGGGTTGTTAGATGCAGAACGATATAGAAGAACTAGAACAGTAGTATAAGGCCCTGAAGTAAGAAGATTTTATACTTCATAGTATTTTCTACATGAGTAATACACACTTGTGAAGTGAGTTGCTGGAAACCTTATCCGACTGAAGCCAAGAGTCAAGAAGCTTTTATAAATCATAACTTCTTTTATATATCTCCATTATAGAATGAAGAGATACAATCTTAATTTTATCAAGTCCAAAGTGATATGTGCAATTAATTATGAATTTTATGCATTTTGGCACTTCATAGACGACTCCCTCTTTGTTATATCAATATTTTGTGTTTAAGCCTTTTTTAGGTAGATGGAGATGAAAAATTTCAGAGAGTTAGCGGAACTAGCGTTGGTGGCGGCACTTTCTGGGGCCTAGGAAAACTTTTGACTAAATGCAAAAGGTTATTTTCATTTCTGTTAAGTATATGATTTTCAATTAGTCACTTTGTTTCTTTCTGCAGAATTTTCTTATGTGTTTGTATTGCAGTTTTGATGAGTTGCTGGAATTGAGCCATGAGGGAAACAACAGAGTGATAGACATGCTTGTTGGAGATATTTATGGGGGAATGGACTATGCAAAGGTATAAACTTTGTTGTGTAATGTATTTCCTTCTTTTCATTTGGATAAGTTGCAGTTTAAACTATTCAAAGGTCTAATATGTCACATCTTGGATATAGAAGAGTCTAGATGAGTAATGGAAGGAATATGTGGAGTAGAATAAGGAGTTGGACCTCAAACTTCAAATCCAGGTTGAGCAATTTTTGTCCCAACTTACAATTTGTGTCCATCACATCAGGCTCAATCCGCTATGTTTGTCTATAAAGGTTCTCTTATTATATCAAGTTAGGTGAAAGTAAATTCGTTTTTGATCATACAAGAAAAGGGGATGATACTAGTAAGAGTGAACTCTGCTTGTGCCATCTCATGGCTTGAAGTGTGAACAACAAACAAAAGATAAGTCCAGTCGACCGCCCCCTTTAGCCTCCTTTCCTCTTCGTTCTGCGTCTCCTTTTTGTTCACCTTCCTCCAATCTACTTTCTGTTTCTCTCCACATATGCTCTGCCAAAATTAGACCTTTATGCAGGTGAATTTAAGGCTAGCTTGGTACAGTTTTCAAATTCATGGTCTTCTTGTGTTATTCTGTGTATATACTTTTTTTTCCAGTTGGACAAATTTCATCCTCCCGAGTGCATTTTTTTGTCTTGTATTTTCTTGCTAATAAAGGAGAGCCTTGGAGCAACGGTAAAATTGTCTCCTTGTGACCTATAGGACTCGGGTTCGAGCCATGGAATCAGCCATTGATACTGCATCACGGTAGGCTGCCTACATTGGGGTGCGGCCTTTCTCCGGACCCTACGTGAACATGAGATGCTTCGTGCACCGGGCAGCCTTTTTTTTATATATATTTTCTTGCTGATGCTACAAAACAATCTGTGGGCTTCTTGTATACTGAAATACTTATTTCGTCCTCAAAATATGGGCGGAGTCACAATTACGTTCCCACTTCTCTAAATGTTCTTTTTAGTTTCCCTGTCGATACTAGGACCCAAAAAAAGTTTCCAGCCTTGATGTTCGCTTTGGACCAATGCCGGACCCAATTCGAGAGCATTTCTCTGGTATTGCTTGATATATATGCACCTAACCTTTACAAGGTGGGAATTTGGAGAAAAGCCGTTGAGGAAAAGGGTCTAAACTACCGCTCTACTATACGAAATATCTTAATTTTATCCTCTGTTATACTTTGAGGCCATTCATACCCTTTTCATTAGCAAGTCATTTCAGTTGTTAGTTGTTATAGATGAACTCCTTAACTTGACAACGAACTAGCAACATTTCTGCTGTTGGATGTTGGCCAAGTAATTGAAATCTATCATAAGAAGGAGTTGATGAATTTTGTAAATTTGGTTCCCATATGTTCAGTTGTTCTAAATGCTCTATTCAAATACCAGAAGCTTCATAATATTCAGGGTGATTAAGAATTTAATGATACATGACAGATCGGCCTTGCATCAACAGCCATTGCCTCTAGCTTCGGTAAGCCGGTCTCAGAAAACAGAGAGCTCGAAGACTACAAACCAGAAGACATCGCCCGGTCCCTTTTAAGAATGATCTCAAATAACATCGGACAGGTAATTATGTGGGTCATGAAGTTTCTCTCAGCAGCATCTATAGATACATCACAATGTAGTTGTTTCCTGACTGAGAATAATAATTGTATTCTCCAATCAAATGGAAACACCTGTCCTTCATGATCTATTCCTTTGGGAATATTTCTAATTCACAGGAGCAACAGACTGTAGTTTAATACTGTTCCCATTCGATATGTTTTGCTTACCATTCTCCTCTCTCATAAGGATACAAATAAAGAATTGAAATAAAACATAGGAGAAGGGCAGATAGATAATCCATCCATTACTTATTGGATATCTCGTATTGCACAACATTTTATCGTAACATGTCATAAGTTGTCAAAATGGCATTAATATTGGAAGATACTAAAATCTGATATGACTTCTGCGCTTGTCTTTATTCTTTTATTTGCTAGAAACTCTTAGGTGGTGTTACAGACGTGCATCTGCTACTCTGCTCAATGAAGTTGTACTTCCTTTTTTAATTTTAAGATGCTCTCTTCTGTCATGAAAACATTTTAGTATAGTCGTCTTCATTATAAGAATTTCTTTTATTTAAGTGGATGCTCTCTTCTGTCATGAAAACATTTCGCTATAGTGGTCTTCATTATGAGTTTTTTAATTTTATATAAGTGGCACCGAGTTGGTCTAAGGTTTATTCTGTTAGTTATGTTGCTTTAAAGTGATGCTTTGCTGAATTAGAATGGCAAACTTGAACACCTGAATTAGTTGAGAAGTATGAGTTAGTAATCAGCTCTCATGAAAAGGAAGAAATATAGGGCCTCTCCTTCCTATAATGTAGTTGTTAAATTGTAAAAAAATCATTTTCTTATTGTTGCTGACTTTATTCTTCAATTGGTTTTGCTTTCCTAGATTGCATACTTGAATGCTCTTCGTTTTGGGCTCAAGCGCATTATTTTGGGAGGTTTCTTCATCCGTGACCATGCTTATACAATGGACACAATTTCCGTTGCAGTTGATTTCTGGTAATTGCTATATCCACTTATACCCAGAAAATTGGTATTTTCCTTACTACCAAGTTACCAACCAACTCTAAGAAAATATAGCTCCCATATATTTTTTTTTCTTTTGAATAACATCAGTTTCTTAGTGATGAATTGGTGTGTGCTTTCTAGGATATACATTGATCGGTTAGCATACTCTTTTAGCGTAATAGATAAATAATGCTTGCTGGTTGCTGCTAAAAAGTAGTTTATTGTCGCAATTATTACCGACTTCTTCTCTCCTCAATTGAAGTTAGTAAATTTGCTCAATGTGCAGGTCGAAGGGTGAGGCAAAAGCAATGTTCTTGCGGCATGAGGGGTTTCTTGGAGCTCTAGGAGCTTTCATGAATTATAAAGATGGAAATGCTGATTTGATGCCCCTTCAGTTAGTTGAGCAAACTCCTAAGAGTTCAAGTTGCATAGTAGATAGGATTCATAACTCTACGCGCGTGCACGAAAATGAAAGTGGTGCCATAGATTGTAGATTGCGAGTTAGTAGCTCATTTAAAATTTATGATGAGGTCAAAAGGTGTTGACCTAAAACATCTAATGTACCAAAAGAAAAGAAAATTGCTGTTGTTTCTTGTCCTGATCTAGGTAACAAATTTCAGGTTTATATATGTGCATATATGTATTTGTGCTTCAATAGGGAATGAAATTTGATATCCCTCCGTTTTCTAACCTTGAGTCGTGGAAAAGTGAGAATTGTTATTTTTTTGTTTGTTTTTAAATGAGAAATGTTATTTAGAGTAGTTAAGCAGCTTTTGATTCAACTCTTTTCATCTTAGGTCTCAAACAAACATATTCTTCATGAATCCTGTACTAAGTTTGATAAATAATTATATATGTTCATTAAACTTATCATATTCCAGTGAGAATATTATGTTCAAGTGAGATTCTACATTACTACTAAATGTTCAAAAGGGAATCATGATGGCAGGCAGGCTTCTTATTGCCTCAGTTTTAAAGGAGCAGTAATTCATTAAGTAAAACAAGTGTATACAAGCTCGCTTGGTAATTAATTTCGGAATTAAATAAATTTTAGATGAGTTTATCACATGTTTGGTTAGAATAAAATCGCGGTATAACTAGTTATCCCGGAATTGTAGTGTTATTTTTATTCCTATGAGAGGATGAGATAACTAATCCCGAGATAATTATAATTGCTTTGGCTTGAAACTAACAGAAAATCTAAAAGGGATTAATGAACCCGACCCAACCCTCTAACCCAGTTGTCTAAGCAACCCAAATCCCCCATTGATTCTTCTTTCTTCAGTTTCCCCTTGAGAAAAATATTTTAAGGCATCAGATAGACATTGTAAAGCTCACCCCATAATGTGAATTCTTCTTCACTTCGACTCAGACCTTCCTCATTCATTTCCGGGCCCTATAATCAATTCAAACTATAAATGGGTTAATTATAGAACACTTCAAAGTCAAATCCCCTTACACTTAAAAATAATTTCTTTATATAAAAATCACACTTCTTCTCTTAATTGATGCCATAATCAATTCAAACTGCAAATGACTCAACTGTCTATTACTTAAAAATATTGCTAGAGATTCAAACTGCAAATGGTCAGTGACCAAAACACCTCAAATCAATTTTTTTAATATAATTCGAACTTGTTCATGGCCAAGAATCGATTCAAACAACAATAGCCAACTGCCAAATTATCTCAAAATCAAATCTTTATACATTAAAATATTTATCTATTTGTTCATACGTGTTCATCAAATATTGATTCCAGAGGAAGAGATGACAAATATAGGGAAGTCATTCCCTAAAAAATGGGGTGGGGATGGGTAGGCTGATAGAGAACAAGTTCCTTGAGAATACTACGAGGGAGTTTGGCTAAACTTATAAGCTAGTCAAATTGGTCTATAAGCACCTTTTGAGTTATCTACATGTTTGATAAACATCCAATGTGCTTATAAGCTAAAATCAACCATAAGTCTTAAGTTAGACACCTCCAACTTATGGCTTTTAGGCTTATAAGCACTTTAGTTTGACCAAGGCTTTTACTAATTTATCCTTAATAATATTTTTTAATTCACAAAATATTTTTTCCCAAAATACATTTTCTAACTTTCTCTTCATTCCATATTCGTTGTTCATCACTTTCTTTAATTTATAATCTTTTGTAAAGTTTTTAAGGGAATTTTAGTGATTTTAACAAAATAACAGTTTATCAGCACTTTTCTACCCAACACATCAACTACTTATTATCGGTTTCAACACGTCTATCCAAACACATAACTACTTATTTAAAAATCAGTTTCAGCACTTAAAAATGCTTTTCATCACTTCAAACTTATCGGCTATTTACAATCAGCTAATCCAAACGGGCTCTACAACTAGAAGTGAAAATAGGCCAGAACAGGAAGAATGAATGGGGGATTTGGGTTTTGTTAATCAATTGGGTTGGACAATTGGGCCGCATTCATTTATTGTGGGTCGGGTCATTAGTGTAATTTATAATTCCATGTGGACAAATTATATGGTGCGATGTTATTTTTAAAATTTCTCTTAGATTTTCTATTAGTTTCAGGGGTATTTTAAGGCCAAAAGATAACTTTGAGGGCAATATGGACCAATAGATGGAAGGAGGACAAATTTGAGCCAAATTCAATAGGTTAAAGCTATTTTTGGCCTTTTCCGTATAATAATTCAAGACGAGAACAAAGGGTGTATTAGGGCTAGGAGTGTTCGTCGGTCGGTACGGTACGGTATTTAGATATTTCGGCTCGGTATTTTGGGTATTCAGTTTTTTAAAATGCTATACCAATACCGTACCTAATTAAATTCGATATGGTTCAATTTTTCTCTTTTTGGTTTCGGTTTATTCGGCTCGGTAACTTCGATTTGAATGCTAACTAGTACGTAGAGTCATAGATTGTAACATTCTTAATTAAAGTACTCAAAAGTACAAAACTAAAAATGTTTGTTGACCAACAAATATCAACCGAGAGAGAGAAAATTGTATATAAAGGAATAAATTTGATCATTAAAAATGTCTTGTTACTTGCATAGAGTTAATTGATGAACTTAGAAAATAAAGGAAAGTAAAATTTTAGTTTTTTTATATTTATGTTATAATTAATAATATGTGTATTCTGCAATATAATATATATTTCGGTACGATATCCGTATTTCGGCATTTCATTTTAAAATACCAAATACCATACCCAATACAATTATTTTAAAAATTAAACCAAATACCATACCGAGTACCAAAATATCGAATACCAAATACCAAAATTTTCGATTTCAGTACGGTAATTCGGTATTTGCCAAATTATGCACAACTCTAATTAGGGCTCATGCTAAATTTGCCCATGAGTTCCCCACATTGGTGTATAATGGTGTAATTAGTATCACTATATAGTTTTGGACAATTCTCATGCAAATAACTTTTAGGATCCAGTTTGGCTCAAAATTTATTCTTTTCATGTGTATCATAATCAGGTCTATTCCAATTCTTAATTTTATCACAGTGTTGGGCCCCCATATTATATTGTCTGTGCTTCAGTTGACAGGTTCTTGCACGCAGGGGCATTGGGTGGCACGTATTAGTGTGAGATGATGTAATTGGTGTTCTTATATAATACTCTTACTGGACAATCATTACCTCTTGAACTTACTCCCTCCGTTCACTTTTAGTTATCAAGTATTCTAAAAATAAATTTTTATTTTTATTTGTCACTTTTCTCATATCAAGAGAAAAATAATTTATTTTTCTGTTTTGCCCTTAGCATTAATTACTCATTCCAAATCACTTTTCAAATCCATTAAGCCTATCCACTAGTATATTAATAAGGGTATCATGGTAAATTATATACTTTATTTATTAGGAGTATTTCTCAAGGGGTGTGCAAAGTCAATAATGGACAAATAAAAGTGAACGGAAGGAGTAGCTTTTAAGATTGAATTAGTCCAAAGGGGGAATCTTAGTAGCTTAGTTGATAGGCTATATGAATTTTTACCTTATTGGTAGGGTTTTGTTTACCCTCAAAATCGGATAATAATTGAATTTGTTAGTGGTTTAAAGGATACGCAAATTAATTTGATACTGAACGATAAATTAGATAGCAATTGAAATAAATAACGATAAACTAACTGTAAACCACGCGAATTGGATGATTTTAGCCTAGGAAAGTTGGTCACCCTTAAGTTGAATGTACTTTGATTGACACCAAGATACCAAAAGAATGAGAATTTAGAGAATAACGATAATGTATTGCTTATGAGTGTATGTTACAATGTCCTTCATGAATTGTGAGGCCCCCTTTATATATTAGAGGAACCTATTTTTAAAATATTATTCTATTATTCCATAAAAGGTAAAAAAGGTCTTTGACTTGTTGACCGTTGGTCCCTTTTTTGGTATGTTCCGTTATTTTTGCCATAATGCCCGATCAGTTACTGGAATTTCGGACCCCTGTCGGATAAGCTAGCAATATATTCCTTGAGACTATTATGACCGGGACCGGTTATGGCCTCGGTAAACTCGAAGGCAAGTCTGGTGGTTCCGATGGCTAATTTGGTAAGGCATGAACCGATCTCCGAGATTTTATCACGATATCTCGGTCCCAAATTATCGTGTTGGATGCTTGGTCAAATCTTGAGTTCGATTTTACCCGTATACAGATAGTCCTCTCGTTTTTCAGAGAGTAAATGATGAGAAACAATGTGAGTTCTCGATTTTCGCTTCGATAAATCATGACGTAAGCGACAAAAGATAGTTGAAACGTCCCATCGGTCCAGTCTTCTAGGCATTAAATATGTGTCAGCTAATGGTTGGCCACTCCAAAACGTGAACTGTCGTTTGGAAAATCATAAATACCTTCTCATCTATTCATTTGAATTTTACATTCAAACTTTTTGTAAGAGACTTCATCACTCTAACTTTCTGGTTTTCTAGCTTACATTCAAACTTCTTCATTTCTGATTTTCTGAAAACTTCTATAAGAGTTTCTCATCTACCAATCATGCCTTCTCTTTCATTAACATCTTACTTTCGCCATTTTTTCACTATTTAAAAGTAATGGCAAAGACTTCAAAAATCGTTGCCCAAAAAGAGACCCCCTCTTCCTCGTGACCGTCTGAGAACGTTTTGTCTATTGTTATCGAGGAACTGACATGGGAACCTCCTCTAAAAATGTTCGTCCCTACGGGGTGCCCAATCGGATCCGATTTCAAGGTCGAGAAAACTTCCTCAATACCGGTTCAGTGTGAGCCGGTCTCGAGATATATATGCTCGGTCACCGACAATGTCCTCACCATAGTCAAGGAAGATTGCAATTGGGCTGATAAGTACGTAGTGGTCCCTACCACCACGGAAGCGATTACTACCCATGTGGAGGATATTTTAAGTTTTACACTTATTCCTTCACGCTGAGCCCCTTAGATCTGGTCATCATTGCCTTCTGTAAGAGGTACGAGTTGACCTTCGGTCAAATTCATCCTTCGTTCTGGAGGATAGTAATTCTCATTCACTTCTTCGTGAGCAAGATCGGGGGGTGTCCCTTCACCATCGACCATCTCATGCGTTTGTATAGCCCCCGACTCTATCAAGAGGGATTAACAAGCTTGTACGTCAGGCCAATAAGGCCCCGTTCTCGAGCATCGATAAAGACCGGGACCGAGGCTGGTTAGGCCGATTCGTCCGAGTGACGACCTCGAATTTAATCCTAGCTGAGTATATGCCATTTCCCGAGAAGTGGAATATGTCACGTAAGTACAATATTA